ACATTAATGGGAGGCAGTATAATACAGTTAATAAAACAGCACAGACCTCTGCCACTACCTTGTTTTATTTAACCTTGCCCAGCCTTAGTTTCTTCACTGATAAAGTTAAGGATAAGAATATTCTTACTATTACATAGGTATGTAGTGAAACTTAAATGAGATAATATATGATAGGACTTACTGCTAGATGCATAAAATCTATTTTTGTTTTGGGAGGCTGCTGTTGTTCACTGGGGAAGAGCATTTGTAAAAATAGAAGAAATCGTTATGTGGCTTATTCTTTAGCTCTGGTCATTTGAATATTCCATACCAGATATGTATCTGCTTACCAATCAGAAAAATAGCTGTCATCTTGTGAAACTAATGTTTTAATAGGTCTTCAGAAAGGTCCCTTGCTGTTTACAAAGACATCTTAGCCCCTTTTTGCTATGTTTAAACCAAGTGAAAGGTTTCCATAGGAAGGTCTTGAATATTACAAAAGCAAGTATATTAAAGTTTATTTTGTAATCCTATAGTTTAGAGAAAAAGATGACCAAGAGTTGTTATTATTCTTGCTAATGAAGCAAAATTAATTCCTGAAGTGAATGCCTGGTTGATTGCCTGGCTTTTGTCTCACTCACATCTATATAACTAATGATGAATTGCTAGATGGTTTGGCTGATTTTGGATAACGTACAGCAGTTATATGATCTGTCACTTCCTAAGTTAAGCATACTATTGATGAAAGCTTATTGTCAACCTGGGAGAGCACACCTATGCTGAAATTTTTGATATCAAGAACCAATCAGTTGGTGCTTTGCAAAAGAAAGGGTAGGAGGTAGGAAATACCTCTATTAAGAAGTAGCTGAGGAAAGTGCTTTCTTCAATAAATCACTATAGAATATTACATAAATAGAAACCTGTATTTTACAAATCAGAATTGTAGTAAGAAATATCTTTTGAACAGACTACATTTCAGAGTAATGAATTTTTTTTTGAGACAGAGTCTCACTGTGTTGCCCGGGCTAGAGTGCCATGGCGTCAGCCTAGCTCACAGCAACCTCAAACTCCTGGGCTCCAGCGATCCTCCTGCCTCAGCCTCCCGAGTAGCTGGGACTACAGGCATGTGCCACCATGCCCGGCTAATTTTTTCTATATATTTTTAGTTCGATTAATTTCTTTCTATTTTTAGTAGAGACGGGCTCTCGCTCTTGCTCGGGCTGGTCTCAAACTCCTGAGCCCAAACAATCCGTCGGCCTCGGCCTCCCAGAGAGCTAGGATTACAGGCGTGAGCCACCGCGCCCGGCCCAGAGTAATGAATTTTTTAAAGAAAACTAGTAAAATTGAATAATGATTTAAATGTCATTTTGTGATTATTGAAATACATTTAATTTTTCTAAGGAAAACAAAGCCACCAAATTTCAGTTAAATATTTTTAGTTTATATGTTTTAGTTTAATTGTAGACTAAAACACGGAGAAATTATTCTTCAGATAACTGTTAATTAAAACTAAACCTTGTTCAGTAATACAGGTTGCAAAGGGCACAGTATTTCTGTCAACATTTAATATTTTTAAAGCCTTTTATTTACCATGCATTGTGATAAATATTGGGAAAACAAACAGGATCCCTGCTCTCAGAGAATGGGCAAAGGAGTCTGTATACTGTTCCTTCCTCATAAACTACTTGGTTATTCTCCTGACTTAGAACAGGTTTGTTCTAGGTAATAACCTTACATTCTTCTAATTCTACTTTACAGAGAAAGTAAAAGCTAACAGCCTAGAATGTCCTTAAGTTTCTGGCTTTAATCTTCTTATATACACAGATTGTCTCTGCTGTCTCTTAAGTACCCAACCTGTGCTCCTGGATTCCAGACTCCTTAGGAATCCTACACAATTGATAATTCCTTCTCTTTGTGCTGGTATATCTTCAATATCTTTAACTTCTTCCATTCTTAGTGACTCCTTCCTGTCAGCATTTAAATGTTTGTTACTTTTACCTTCTAAAAAGAAGCAATTTTAGAGCCACATTTCCCAAAATATTGTCTATATTTTTTCTTAATTGGTCATCTTCTATTCACAACACAGGCCACTTTTACTCTTTTCTGCTTGCCCGACCACAGCTCACCAATATCACTCTCAATAAGACTACCAGTGACTTCATAGGTGCCTGTGGAATAAAATGAAAGCGATGTACGTTTTCAGTCTTTATCTTGAATCCTAGTCAGAATTGAAAAAGCATACTACCTTTTCCTTAAAAATCTTTTATAACTAATTAAATGCTGGGATTCTTCAATATACTTGGTCAGAGTCTTTCCTTATGGTTTTGTCTTTTACTCCACTGGTTTTATTTACCATCTATATTCTGACAACTCAACATTTTTATTTCCAGCTCAAACACCTTGGTACTAAATTTCTCCACTGGGAAGCTTAAATTAAAAAAATCATGTTTAGGTAAATATTTTGAGTACTTACTATATACCAAGGACAGAGCTAAGCATTTCACATTTCTCATTTGATTTTTAAACTTTTCCCACCATTTTTATAGTAAAACAGTCCTCAACATTGAATAAGTATTAGAATCACCCAGGGAGCTTGTTAAAAGTGCAGATTGCTGGGCCCTACCTCCAAAGTATCTGACTCAGTAGATCTGGGTTGGGGCATGAGAATTTTCATTTCTAGAAAGTTCCCTGATGATACTGGTACGGAGGAACTGCATTTTGTGAACCACCGCATTAGAGAAGCAAAATAACCTGCTTCACAGCTGGAAAGTGGCAGGGCTGGAATTTGATCCCAGGCAGACCTGAGCTTTACCCTTTTAACCTACCATCCCCACCCCAAACATATGATACTTCTCTCTTAGGTATGTCATTGTTTATAATGAAACTTCCTATTCCCCCCATAGCTGGTCCTCCTCTAGGGTTCCCTAGCTGCCATTAGTATAGGGTAGAAACTTCACTTGTTCCTACCCTATACTAATAGCCCCTCCCCACTAATATTCAGTGTGCTACCAAATCCTATCACTTTCTACTCCCACAAACTTTCTCAAATTTACCCACTTTTCTTCCTTTGCCACTACCATCAACTAAATCAAGGCTGCCTCAGCCCTCACCTGGATTGCTAAAATAGCTTCCTAACTGATCTCTGTACATCTGCAGTCTCCAACCCCTGGGCCAAGGCCCAGTACTGGTCTGTAACCTGTTAAGAAATGGGCCGAGCATCACCACCTGAGCTCCACACCACTTCCCCCAACCCACGACACCCCAGCCCCCCACCTTCAGTCCGTGGAAAAATTGTCTTCCACGAAACCAGTCCCTCGTACCAAAAAGGTGGGGGACCACTGCTTACATCTCTTCTTGCTGTTCTTTAATTCATTCATATAACATCAGGGATAATTTTAATAAGTCAAATGAAATCTCTGTTTAAAATCCTTCTATCCTCTTTAAAATGAAGGCCAAAATTCTTACCATGGACTATGGGGTCTGTATGACCTATATGCTTACTGACTGTCATTTTATACTATTCTTTCAATCATCATACAATTGTGCAGTCCTACTGGCCTGTCAGTATTTAGGTACCAGCTTTGTTTATTGATTTTGGACTTTATAACTGCACACTAGAACCACTGGTGTTTAGTATTCCATTGTATGAATATACCACAATTTATTTGCCCATTGTAAATATTTTTGAATAAGTACTTACATAAAAAGGGGTTTTGTTTTTAATCTTGGGTTTTTGGAGTGAAGGATGGTAATACCAATGATAAGTCTTGAATGGGAGATAGAGGGAAGATAGTTCATCAATGACATTTTAAAAATGTCTTCCGAAGCACCCTGGGAGGCCAAGGCGGGAGGATCACTCGGGGTCAGGAATTGGAGACCGGCCTGCGTGAGAGTGAGACTCCATCTCTACTAAAAATAGAAAAAATTAGCCAGGCATGGTGGCATGCACCTGTAGTCCGAGCTCCTTTGGGAGTCTGAGGCAGGAGGATTGTTTGAGCCCAGGAGTTTGAGGTTACTGTGAACTAGGCGGACACCAGTGGCACTCTAGTCCGGGCAACAGAGCGAGACTCTATCTCAAATAAATACATAGGTTGGTAGTCTTTCAAGACTGAAGCCATTTGAGAGAGTATAGGGGGGTTTGCGACATTACTAGTGAGATGATACTAAGCAGAATGAGACCTAAATATTAGGACCTTTTAAACTAGAGCTCAAAGTTTATCCTAAAAGCTGTGGTGAACTATTGAACATTTTGAACAGAGATTTTTGTTTTCGGAAGATCTCTCTGGCAACACTGTGGGAAATGAATAGAGGTGTGAACACCGTATTAGAAACCAGGAGACCAGGAAACCATTCACTAGTTCACTAATCCAGGAGAATAGTGATGAGTACCTGAATTAAGGCAGTGGGATGGAACAGATTTATAGGAAACTTACAGGTTGAAACCCAAAGCACTCATCTGATTAGCCTCTCCACATCTGTTCCATATTTCAAGATTAGCTCTTAAGAATTGCCTCTTCCAAGGTCTTCCCTTACTGTTTTAGCTTTAGTTGGTCTTCTCCACTTCTCAACCAATACAAAAACATCAATCTGTTTTATACATCTTATACTTATGCATTGGTAGTAGCAGGTATCATTTAGGTGTCAGGCACCATAATTGTAATAGTTGGCTTGCATTATCTAGTTAGATTACTACATTAAATCTATGATGTAGATGGATGTAAATGAGGAAACTAAGGCACATGGTCACACAGCCAGTAACAGCACTAGGATTGGCACTTAAATCACCGTTGCTCTACAACTCATTCCTGATCAGTACATCGTACTTAGTGTTTTCCATGCGTACTCATTCTTGGAGTTGAAAACCACCTCTTGTGCCTTGTGGTGTTGAGCACATAGATGATTCAGTATTTACAGATAATCCTTTTTATTTAATCTGTATAAGAAGCAATTCCAGGAAGATTAGTGTTTTGGGTGGTAGCTGTGGTATGGTTTGTAAATAAATCATTCTGTCTCCTTTTCAGATTTGGATGGTGCTCTACTCTCAGGGCCTGATGGTGATAGGAATGTGAATGCAAATTTATTGGCTGAAGCTGGCTCTAATCAAGACGGAGGTGATGCTGGTACGTACAGTATGATTTTAGCAAGAGTACATCTAAGAGATTTGACTATTGAGATGTGTTACATGTTTACTGCGGCATACTATAGTTTCTCTCCCTTAAGGGAGAGTATTGTCTGTAAATACTTTGAATCTATGGTCGGTATGTTTATGATGACTTTGGAAACTTGGTAAATGTGAATTGATAGATATTTTTGGTTTTGTATGTTTGAAGGAGTCATTTATTTAGAGTTTTAAAACTGTTAAATATCAAAGGTAATTAAGTTAATAGAGCTTAAGGCTTCCTGCTGGTAAATAGATACGGAATGGTAATTATTAGAATGGTTGACAAATGTATTTTAATTAGCTTTGCAAAATAATGGTGTGGTTGTTGATGGCTATAGAACACGTTGATCAGTTCTATGTAATATTAGCTGTATTTTGGGGGAAGCTTGATACATACAAAGAATGAATCCATAAGTATGTTATGAGTAAAAGGGAGAAAGGTTTCTTTACAGAAGAATGTCAAAGTAGTAGAAGAACGAAAGAATTGGAAAAATACCTATTTTTAACCCCCCACAGGATGTAAGATCATCAGTGGATATTAAGCCAGTGTTAATGGGCTTGTCTCGCTATGATTGGGTAAAAGGAATAGCATATCCACATGGACTCAGTATCATCCCACAGGTTATTTCCAGTTACAAACGGGAAATAGTATCTTTATAATTAAAGAGATCTGAGGAACATTATCATAACCAATTGATTAAACTTCGTATCGTCAATAATCAAACTGAAATTAAGTGCCAGCTGATGTGATACACTAGCCAGCACACATCACCTATGTAGTATTTTTGAAAATATTTAGCCTGATTCTCATCATGGAGGAAAAATCAGATCTACATAAATCCAGTTACGTGACAGGTGCTCCAAATTCTAAAATGTTAATGTCATTAAAGACAAGCGAGGGAACCATTAGATTAAAAGGACCAAGTAGATAAACTGAAGTGCAGCATGGGTATTAGTAGGTCAAAAATGATTCAAGGGGGCATTTTGGGAATGGCTGGAAATTTGAATATGTAGTATGTGTTATTCAACCAATTTTAAATTTCTTGAATGTGCTGTGGTTATGTGGGCTCTAGAAGACATGGGCTATATTTAGTCTTGAAGTTGATAAGTGTGCAGATTTTCAAATAGTGCATAAAAATGTGTATACATAGCGAGAAAATGGGCAAAACTAACATTTGTTGAAGATAGATAAAGGGATATGGATGTTTTTTGGTTCTTTCAATGTAGCTTTGCAGTTCTTTTCAAAGTTGATGGTGTGGGGGACCACTAGGGGCACTCCTCACACAAAGCAGCTGGGACTTGTGAATATAGTGTGCACTGACCACACTTAAGCCACAGTTCTGTGGAAGCTGCCTTAAAGTGGTTACCCCTGACTATTGAAAAGAAGTCACTAAAAAAATTTGAAATTAGCAGTTTGTGGGTCAGATGTGTTGGATTTTGGAGATATTTTGCTTTTACAGAAAATCACTAACAGTGCAAGAGAATTTTATTGCACTTTGTTTAGAAATCTGGTGCAAGAATGGGTTTAATAGGGGCTGTGTGAATTTATATACAGAATGTTAAATATGGGCACATACACACTTTTTCAGTGGAGAATGATCCATATCATTCATTTCATTCTCAGAAGAGTAAGCCTTTGATTTAGAGTCATTTCCCTCAAAGGATACATTTTGATCCATTAGTATTTTTGCAGCTGAGATCAGCCTTTGTCATATGACTTTGAGGTCAAAAACTTACATTTTTTCCTTAGTTTGCTGTTATGGAACAGTGTACCCAGAAGGATATTATTGAACAGTAAGCACAATTTGAAGTAGATCCTTAATGATACTTAAGTGTATTGCATTACAATGACAATAACTTTATTCAGGCCGCTTTTGTAATTTGTATGAGTAATCTCTGCTAATTCTAAGAATTAGGAGAAATGCAAGAAATTCAGGGGAAAGCTTGCTCGCTGGCTTGCTTGCTTTATTTATTTATTTGCCAGGCAAATTTAACAGTAGGGGAGTTGTATACCAACTTCAGTGACACTAATAATGTTAGTAAGTTGTGATAACCCATGGAAGGCTTTCTTAATTTGAATTATCATTTTGTATTCCAGATAGTGTTTCTTGCTTGTCACTGTGGATGCATTTTATTATATCTTTACTATAAGCTATCTAGGGAAACATAGAATATCAAATACAAAGAAAATCTCTAATTCTGAATCTTCGATCATCAGTTCATAAACTGTTTTAGGGGTATTTCTCTATCTCCTTATTTTTATATAGAGTGAATAATGTTTAACTGAATATATTAGCACATCTAACATGTTTTATGACATTAGTTTTTCAAGTATTTTGAACAAGTCAAAAGTATCAGATATACATTAGCATTTGCTAGATATACTTATTCAGCAAACAATTGGAGGGCATATATTTTAGACATTAGAAATACAAAGAGCCAGGTGCAGTGGCTCACACCTGTAATCCTAGCACTCTGGGAGGCCAAACTGGGAGGACCGAGATCAGGAGTTCTAGACCAGCCTGAGCACAAGAGCAAGATTTCTCCACAAAAAATAGACAAATCAGCTGGGCATGGTGGCATGCACCTGAAGTCCCAGTTATTCGGGAGGCTGAGTCAGGAGGATCGCTGGAGCCCAGGAGTTTGAGGTTGCAGTGAACTATGATGACACCACTGTACTCTAGCCCAGGCAGCAGAGTGAGACCTTGTCTTAAAAAAAAATGTGAAACTAAAAGTAGATTCACCTCCACAGGGCTACCATCCCCATCCTAGTCTCCATCCCACACACACAGAAATTTTGTCTCACTTAGGATTCTGAAAACTTTGCCCCAAACAGTAATGCGTTATAGTTAAATTATATATAGTTATGGGTTCAGAGGGCTTTCTCGACACTAAAAAATGGATGTATTTTAAATTACAAAACAGTTTACATTAAGAGTAATGATGTGCAGTTTTAAAGCACTTTAGAGACTTTTTAACTTCAATGGGGTATTAATACTTTCACCAAAGAGGAAATCTTAAGTTCTCTTAATTTTTAAGTGGAACAACATGTCTGCTAAATCTGGGAAAATGAATTCTTAGGAAATCCATTTTGATAATAAGCATTTTTTTATTAAAACCATGGTGTCCATGGGAGTAAAATAAATTATTTGCTGCACAAGTAAACCATACATACATCCTGAAAGAAATGATTCAGGCAGTGGAAAGCATAGATGCCTTGAATTGGGAGCCTGCTTATCACAGAGGTCAGTATGGACTAGAAGCAAGGGTTCCACCAGGTAAGGCTTTGTAGGATATTGGAAGTCTTTGTCTTTTACTGTGAGTGAGATGGGTGGCCCTTGCTGCTTTATGAGCAGAGTGATGACCTGCCTCTGAGTTAGTCTTTTTAAAAGAATCCGTGATTGCTGTACTAAGAACAGACTCTAGGAAAGCAGCACTTAAGAACCAGGAGACAAGTTGGTGGCCACCAAAAACAATCCAGGGACTAGAGTTGATAGTTGATTGGATCAGGGTGGCGATAGCTGTGGAGGATGCTGGATATATTCCTATTGTCAGAAGATTCCTGGTCTGGGGAATTACTTACAACGTCAAAGTGGAATTAAATCCAGAGGAGATAATGCCTCTCCTTGCTAATCTGAAGATCCTTAAGCACATCTGTTATTCTATTTTGACTTCTACCTTCTGGACTTTGTTTTGTGTAAGAATGGAGTTAGTAGAAAGAGAAGTTTCAATGAACCTCAAGAGTATTCAGTTACTCTTGCCCTAATATGTCCAAAACAAGTCTAGTAATAGAACTTTAGTTCATTTTTTTCTTAGAGACAGGGTCTCACTCTGCCCACATTAGAGCTCATTGGCATGATCATAGCTCACTATAACCTCAAACTCCTGGGCTCAAGCAGTCCTCCTACCGTAACCACCTGATTTAGTCCATTTTTCTATACTTATTACTCTTAAAAGGATGTGACTTTTGGATACAATAAGGAGAATATCCCATTTGACAGTTGGGCTTCAAAGTGATAGAATCTCAAGTGATAGAATAGTTAGAAATAGCAACCACAAAGAGTTATGTTTTGAATATGTTTGAAACCCAACATTTAAAAGGGTAATTCTCATGGCCTTCCCACAATTAAATAATATTCATGGGGGTTTTTTAATTGTATTTTTTCCTATATTGAATGTATTTTAAATTTGAATTTTTAAAATTGTGAATATAAGGTATGGAGACAACTTTAGACTGAAATGTAGAGTTCACTAGCTTTTAAGATGTTCTGTTATGCTCATAAGATATAAATATATTTTCTATTTTCTGACACTAATAAGAGAGAGCTTTATTACCATTACTTCAAATCACTTTTTGTTAGGTACTTCACATGATTTCAAGTATGGTTTGATGCCTGGCCCTTCAAGTGATTTCAAGTATGGGTTGATACCAGGTACTTCAAATGACTTCAAGTATGGATTGATACCAGGTGCTTCAAACGATTTCAAGTATGGATTATTGCCGGAATCTTGGCCAAAACAAGAAACTTGGGAAAATGGCAAGTATTAGTCAACTGAACAAATACAGAATTATCAAATACTTTTTTAACAATTAAAAGCTTCCATATTCTGAGTTTAAAAAAATCAAGTAGTAGCAGCCCTATGTCAATTACTGTTTCCAGGGATAGAGATGGAAGTTGTTTTGATAGCAAGTTTTCTGTTTAATGTGTAGTAAGTACTTTCTGCTTTTTTTCTTTTTTAATTCTCACAGGTGAATCATCTCTAATCATGAACAAGTTAAAATGCCCTCATTGTAGCTATGTAGCCAAATACAGACGAACACTAAAAAGGCACTTGCTCATTCATACTGGAGTGAGGTCATTTAGCTGTGATATTTGTGGAAAGCTGTTTACTCGAAGAGAACATGTAAAAAGACATTCCCTGGTAAGTAACTTTAAATACAGTTGATCTTTGAGATAAACTATATGTATGCCAGTGAAGATTAAAGGGATTTTAACAGTTAATTACAAATTTAAGGAAAGTTGATTACTAAATAAATTGCTTTAAGCAAAGAATGTGAATGAACTGAATTTCATACAGAAAAGCAATGGTATATCCACTCATTATTATTAAATATATGGTTCAATTTGAGTGGTTCAAATGCATTCTATTTTCTATACTATCCTTATTGAATGTTTCCCCCTTTCAATCAGGTGCATAAAAAGGATAAAAAATACAAATGTATGGTGTGTAAGAAGATCTTCATGTTAGCAGCCAGTGTTGGAATAAGACATGGATCTCGACGCTATGGTGTTTGTGTAGACTGTGCAGATAAATCACAGCCAGGAGGGCAAGAAGGTGTAGATCAGGGACAAGAAACAGAATTCCCTCGGGATGAAGAGTATGAGGAGAATGAAGTAGGAGAAGCTGATGAAGAGCTGGTTGATGATGGAGAAGATCAGAATGATCCATCTCGATGGGATGAATCGGGAGATGTTTGTATGTCTCTAGATGATTAACTGACCTACTATACTCCTCAAGAATGCTGCATTAGGACATACTATGACTCGACAATTTGGATTGTTGAACTTGAAGGCTTGCAAAATATGGTACATGCTGGATGGTAGTTATGTTGCTGTGAAAACTGTAGGGTCAAAGCCTTATAGCAAAAAAAACCTTTTTTTTATATTTGCACAGGACTGTACAGCAAACAACCATGTGGTTGGATTACATGGAGTCCCCACATATTCAGTCAGTTATCAAAGTAAAATATTTTTTATTTATAGGATATACAGTAACTATTTGGGTCCTATGAAAATATATTACCTGTCCTTATAGAGCTTACATTCATGTGCTACTTTAACATGAATGAAGAAAATCCATTTATGGAAGTACAGTGACAGTTGACCCAATCACTCTGTCCATCAAACCACTCAGGCTAGTTTGTACTAGTAGAGTTTTGTTTCTATTTTTATTTTTATTAATTTTATTTTTTTTAATACAGATTTTCAGTGAGGGGCTTTTTCAACCCCATTGGTTCTATTTTCTTGTATTTTTCCATTTTAATTTGCTTCATAACTTAAACCAAGTCTCTTCTAGTCTTAGGTATTTCTCAATTTTGTGCTGATGGGCATGTTTGTAAGAACTGGAGAGATAATTTATTGGAATGAACTAACTGACTTCCCCCATCTCCCCTTTCCTTTTTGACATGAATTTTACTACACAAATGAAGAATGATGTTGCAGAGTTACCGTGGTGAAGTTGGCAAATACCACTAAACTGATTATGATTTAGAAGTAACTTTCTCTTGCTGCTCTAATCTGATAAATGGTTATATATAATGTTTTCTGACATGGTATTTGGTTTTGGGTATCTGTTACTTTGGCATTATTCTTGTTTGCCTCTTTTTATTTTTGCCAGTGTACTATACCTCAGTCCTATTTGAAAGACCTAATCGAAAGAAAAGTCATAGAAATAATAAGTAAAATGATTTGTTTTATAATTTATCCCCCATGTCCAGTTTGGTTAGTTTGTGTTATGCAATAGAAGTGAAATATCAGGTTTTTATCCCTGTGCCCTTTTATCATTAAAATTAACACAAAATACGCATTCTCTTTTGTTTCATACTTACTGGGATATTGAGTGTTTAAAAATTATGATTGATAAGTAAATTATCTTTCCATTCTTTGAAGTCACTACACCTACATATAGTCTTTCTAGTAGTCACCATGATCAAACAATCTCCAAAAGTCTTACAAATAAAATATTGAGAGGCTTTATTCCATTAACTAAATTCTTCAGGGTACAAAGGGTGATCCTTGAGTTGAAATGTCAGATTTATTTAGCCTGGTGACAAATGAATTAGCTGATTGTGGAACTCAGCAACATTTCACATATTATAAACATGTATCACATTTTATCAGGAGCATATTGTATGTTCTGTAAGGTTGAGGAACATATTTTCAGCTTTCTTTTAAATAAAAATTGAGTATATTTTCCTATTTTATATCAGGTAACTAAATTATCGTAGTTGTGTGGGAAAAAATTGCAAAGGTGCTTTGACAGATATAATCCTTTTGGTGCTCTATCTGATCAAAGTTGAGAAATTGATATGTTTTTTCAGAGCAAGCTTTATCATTGTCTCTGATTTCAGTAGAATAATGGTTTAATGTTAGACAATGATGTTTCTGCTTGAATAAATCAGAGATAAATTACAGTTACATGGTTAGATACATCTTTTGTCACCTATACTTTATTGTAGTTTCTACATAACTGTAAACCTGAAAGATGAATAGTTTTGGTTTGATTTTTGTTTAAAACTGAAGAGTATATCTTAATGTTATGGACAAATGAGTAAAATGTATTTCTGGTGAGGTCCAAAGTAGAAATTAGTTGGGCAAAAATGCTATGAATGAAAAAGTATTTTAAACGTAAAATGTTCTTTGTGAATATGTAAGTATAGTATAAAGATTTCTTTCATCCCATTTATTCCCTTCCTTTAAAATAAACTAGTTTACAATTGGTAGATCTGTCTATATATAAATATATATTAAAGAGCAAAGATATATATCTAAAAAATCACCTAAATCTGCTTTATTAGACTACAGTTCACTTATTGCATAGAAACTGGACTTGGCTTTACAATCTTAATGTACTTTTACTTTTCCTCAAGATACGAATTTATTATTCTCTTGAAACTGAATTTTCTTTTACTACTTAAATCATTTATGTATATCTGGTAAATTATGACCAAATTTTTGTTAGATTGCATACAGTAAATTGAAATACACATTTGGTACACTACGGGATTGTTGTGCTTTTGTTTTGGTTTTAGTTGGAAACAAGGTTTGACATAGATGGCTTGTTACTGTTAATTTAAAATATTCTATAATTGTCCATTACCTTTTATGTTGTGTTGTGACAGATTTGGCTATATTTTTAGTCAATTGAAATATAATACTTTAAAAGTTTGTTTTTAGGTAATCCAAAGGAAAAATGTTTATACTCTTGCATATGTTAGCCTCAGCCTATATAAAAATTTCTTTGAAGTAAACATTTTACCAGAAACAGAATTGACAGATTTTTCTACTTGCTGACTGCCTAACTTATTTTGTTTTGTGATCTCGAGGGACTTCCTTTTCCCATGTAGATCTTTTTAAAAGATAGTTTTAGTACTAAGGTATACTACTGGACATTTCTATTTTTTTAAGTATATTCTTTTTCTGACTTACAATTTCAGGAAGTTGATAGATACTAAGAACTTAATGATTGGTCTCAGAGGTAAAAATGGAATACTCATAATTTTATCTGTAGAACTCTGGCAGAATTATGTTACACATTTGGTGAAGTTTTCTCTTGTAATTTATATTTTAAATGAAAAAATATTTTAGAGCTTCTAATTTTAATGAAGAGTATAAACTGTTTCTTTCATATTCACTCTGTAGTAACAGACCCTCTCAAATCAAGATCATGTATTATTTCTTAGAATTCTCAGACAGCTACTTCCATATGGTCCCCTCTTTGTCATAGTTCTTGGCTCTCATTTTTCTTATTTACTAGATGTTTTGCTAAATTTTAGCACCGTAGCAATTGAGAGCTTAAAAAAAGAAACATTTCAGGAAGGGGAAACTGAACAGTAATGAGTAGCTTTGAAATTCCGGGGGAAAAACACTAGCTAGTTTAGGTAGAGCCATCCTGATGGAGAAGAGTGAGCTAAATGAGTTAATTCATGTGAAGTGCTTAGAACACTGGTACATAATAGGTGCATAATACATCTTGGTTGTTTAATAATCGATAAGAACCAAGAGGAAAAGAAGAAATGAGAAAAGGGGGAAAGGAGGGGAAAAATAGGAAATAAAAGGATTAGGACTTGGAAATTTATAGTAACACAATATGGTGTAAACGGCCTGGAACTTACTGGAGTAGTATAATGTGAGGAAAAGTGTGAAGGAAAATAGGTTTTAAAAAATCTTAAATTTTTAAAACTTCAGTAAGTTTTATATTTTTAGGATTTTCTGAACATAGCATGACGGGTTTAGATCCATTTTTCTGAAGAATGATTCCAAAAGCTACCAATTTTGTGTGCCCACACTTGCCGCTGTGCTATATACATTATTTTATCTAATCCTCTATAAGGTAGGTGCTAATTGTCTCCATTTTATAGATGAAGAAAGGCTGTGAAATTCAGAAACTTGGCTAATTTAACGCAGCCATGATAGAGCTGGGATTTGACCAGGTCTGATTCTGAAACCCATGCTCTTTCTTGGAGGCTGTGTTGCTGCCTCATTAACAACTCTTTTGTAGAATTTCAGCTCTTTAAAGGAGTGTGTCTGTGGAGATTTATATTTTTCCTATAAAGCAGCTATGTTAGGAATTTTGTGTCCTTCCCCCCCCCAACAAATATCCTTACTACTTTTTCCTCCTGATAGCAGTTGTTTTGTCACTTTGACTTTTAAGAAGACACAACCTCAGTGTAGCACATGCTATTAATCAGCTGTGGCATTTTGATTTTTAAAAGGATGGTTTTTATCTGAAAAACTAGATACAAAACCCCAGTTTTTGTGCCGTTCAGTCACCCAGATCCTTAAACTTAACTATGGTACATAATATACTCGTTAGAACTAACAAACAGGTGTTTTCGTAGTCACATTAGGATTTAAAATGGAAAGTTTTTTTCCTGCTGTATCCCTGCTTTCAAGTGAAATTAATTCTAGGTAGTTTAAGATGTTTTAGGGATAAGCACACTTTAAAAGATGTTTTCTAGCCCTGAATTTTATGACAGTGGGTACTTAAATTTGGAGTACACTAGCTATTGAGAACAAAATTTTGGGTTGTAGAGAGGGATGGTTGAGGCCATTATGAAATGGGAGAATCAGCATTTTAAACACTGTAAACATAAAAGAACACTTTCTTCTGCCTGCTGTTTGTAAAAGCTCTTTGGGAAGATCTTTTACGAAGACCAATTTTTTTTAATGTAAATTACCTACCTAATATAAGTGTCCTAAGACATGTATGTAAACTTCCGAAACTGTTTTGTCTGTGTATTTAGAAAATACACAAGAATATCAAACCTAAAAATATAAACTTGTGAGCACTAAACTGCTTCTGGCTTTGTGAATTTTATTGACTCTGACATTCAATTCAGATTTCTTTTCCAACTGTACTAATTTAGACTAATTGGGGTAGGGGGAACACCTTTGTAAACTTTAACTTATGTAAAATCCAGATACCTTTGTACTTAAAAGGTTTACAAGTTTGAATTATAGAATATTATGAGGGGTTTCTTTTTTTTTGGTTTTGTATGTTTTTATTTGAAAGTACGTAAATGACGAACTACCTCCTAGTAACCCTGCTTTGATTAATTAATAGCAGTTGCCAGGTGCGGTGGCTCCAGCCTGAAATCCCAGTCACTCTTGAGGCTGAAAGCAGGAGGATCGCTTGAGCCCAGGAGTTCAAGGCTGCAGTGAGCTATGATTGCACCACTGCACTCCAGCCTGGGTGCCAGAGTGAGACTATCTCTTAAAAAAAAAAAAAAATGATTTGTAATTAGTGTATCTTTCATCTTTATTTACTTTTATGATTCTCTACAGGTTTTAGGAAACTTTGTAAAAAATTCCTCTGAATTCCCATGTAATTTACCCTTGTGCATAATCTTGGGGAATGGGTTGAAAAGTAAAAATAACCTGCTTCATCCCATATTTACTATATATTTGTGGATTTATTGATCACAAGTAAATAATATATTCTTTGAACCTTTATATTAATATAGAGGATCTAGTTAGTTTTTTAGGTTTTTTAACACTTAGAACAAAGGAAATCATAAAATGGCCACATACTCAGATTTTATTAAAGAAATGGGAGTTTTTAGTTTTTGGAGAAAGGCAAAGTAAAGGGGGTACCCACATAGCATTATCTCTAAATATGTAAAGAACTGTCGTGTGGCAGAAGAATTAAGACATTCTATGCAGTTCTAACAGGTAATGATTGGGACCACTTGTCTCAAGATTAAAAAGCAGTTTTAAATTATCCAAAGATAAAATGGGGTTGCTTCAGAAAAAAATCTGAATCTCCTACCACTGGAGATATTCTACATAAAGTGAAGATACCTGATAATCACTGTGGCTAAGACAATATTGACCAAACTTCCCTATTTCAGAGTTGGTTTTTTTCCCCCAAGTGTTGGGATCATCATGGTTGCCAACTTGTTTTGCTTAGTAAACAGAAAATAATTGATAAAATTATGTATAAATACTTGAAGGATATTTTCACACTAAAAAGGAAAAAATTTAGAAAATTTAAAATTAAGACATCAAGTTTAGCTTAATGGAAAAAATTGCTATTTGATCCTTTTTTT